GTTACCTTCCCTCCAAAACTGGCATATTAAATTGATATTAAAACACTTTAAAACGTACACCTCAGGAGTTCTTACCTGTCGGGATCCTTGGGGAAACGGTGGAAGGCCAGGTGCGGGGTGTTCCACTGATAGTTGTTGCAGTTAATTGCGCTACACTGTTTTCTTTTACTTTTTTCCTCCTCTCTCCTTGACATCTTGCATGTTGTCTGGGCGCAACAGTCCAAGCTCAACAGTCCAAAATGGCGGCAGCGCCCCTGGTGGCTGTTGGCAGAAATTCAACGGAGCTTTGCCTCTTGTTATCCATGCTCTTTGGCTGTGTGTACTTTGGGGCTTTTGTATTTTTTCCCTAACCATCTCTTTGTACTGATTTACTTTTTATTTAATATATATAACTGTCCCTGAAATATTTGATATACTCTTATGTAGTGTCACCAGTGTGCTGATTGTTATTGTAGCCTATACGTTGAAGTTTTGTACATTTAAATTGTTCAATAAAAAATAAAAACTTTGGGGCTTTTGGGACTTTTTTTCGATATTGGTTGACTGATAGTGATCAAAATAGGATGATTCTGAATCACAAAGCTGTAAAGTTTAATTACTTTGTTAAAATGTTTTATTCATTTTTTTTAACTTAAGTACTTCCTGCATTTCTAAATGAGACAATCTTGTACAAAAATATGTTAAAAAAAAGAAGATATATAATCAGAAAGGCCGTGTGTCTTTAAGAATGACCACTTGTATTTTGTTTTAATTAAATTAAATTTTAATTGTATTTATTTTTTGTGTCTTTCATTATTATCTATTTCTGTCCTGTAGTTAGCTCAGTTATTTTAACAAAGTAATCTGTATTCAGATGTCATATGAAATGCCTTTATTGACTGTAAATAGCCTAAAAAAAAAATAAATTTAAATAAAAAACAAACACTGTGGGCTCTGGGATCTGTTGGCTGTGACACAGCAGGTATTTCACCATTTCACGTTTGGTTTTATGCTGAGTGTGATGACAGTAAAGCGGACTCTGGTTCCAAAATAAGAAAAACAAGGGTACTTTACATGAATCATAGATGTATAAATAAACATTAAGTCATAGCCTTCTAAAAAGTCGCTCGGTGAGTCATTGCTCTTCTAGGAGCTGGAAATCAAATAAAATTCTGCTGGCTGATGTAACAGTGAAAGCTGTAAAGGCAGTTTTAATTTTCTGTTGTGAATGTTCACAGAAAGACCCAGAAAATTCCAGAAATTTGGTGAAAGGTGTTCGTTGCTTCGACGGAAGAAAAAAAGAGAAAACAATGTAACCAGGGAAACCGGTCTGTGGTTTGCAATGGAAAAGCCCTTACGTAGTGAACGTGATGACGTGGGAGGCGTAACCTCATAGACGTAACAAACCGACATGTTTTGACATGCCGCACACAGTCCCAGACCTCAGTCACTCAGTGAGCACCAGACGGAGAGCACCACAGCTGGAGAGCACCACAGCCCGCAGTCCTCAGTCTTTCTCCCGGGTCTTCTAATGGTTCACATCACAGACTTCATGCTCGGCTTCACTGTTCCTCTCTTGACTTTCTTGGTACCCTTCACTACGGCAGCCCGGACGGACGTTGATTGTAAGTTTATGTGTTTCGCTACTTTAAGCTAGTTAGCTAACTTTGTCATTCATTCATAGTTCAAACGGAGCGGTAGCTGTTAGCTTCACGTTACACCTGTTAAGACTTGTGATTATAGTCTTATCCATAAACTGTCGGGTGAATTGAAATGGCTCGTTATATTCAGTGTGGCTTTTCTGTAACTTTTATAAAACGGTTACAACCGTAACTAACGTTAGTTTAACAAACTTCTGGCTGCTCTAAAATGAATATTTAATCAGTTACTAATGTGTTTTTGCTTCAATAGAGCAAAAAATAAAAAATAGCCAGACTTATGTCTCTCTGTCTTATTTCACCTCTTTGTGTTAATTCTGATTTTTACATTTACATTATAATAATCTTGAATATAGCCTCAGGTTGAATAGGAAAGGAGCACTTTTTTTTTTACACACCCTGTTAGTCTCTGTCATGATATTCTCAGGGTTAAAATCTTTCTTTTTTTGCTGTGTAATTCTTGAAATATTTGCACGTGATTTGCTGATATGACTCAGCACACCTCGTGATGACTGTGCAAGGTGGCCCACTGCTGCCATAAATCTCTCACAGAGGGAAATCGACCCAGGAGCCCACTGTCCCCGATGTGGGGTTGACATATAATGACTCCAGACGAAGTCATGAAACAATTTCCTGGATGAGCGTGACAACCTTGATCAGTCAAACTATCCTCTGAGATGACCGATATCTGTCCATCTGTTTGGTCATTGAGATATAGATTTAAATAATGTGACGTAACAGATGGCGGCAGGATGTTGTTTTTCAAAGTTCAAATTTTGGCACTCATTCAACTGTTCATGCTTCTGATAAGCGAGACTGTTAATCTGTTGTCTGGGATTATAAGACTCTCGTACCTCATTCACACACAATGCATAGGCTACGCACAAATCTGTGCTTAAACTGTGCTTACCAGTATTTTAGGCCAGCTGTGTTCACATGGGACCAGGTAGAGGGCAAACCAGATGTCATTTTAGTGGATGAGAGCAGGAGGGTAACATAAGTTGAGGCTGGCAAAGAATACCGGCAATGGTAACGGTTGATTCAAAGTTAAAAAAATTTGAACTTTTTTGCCATTTTTTCCGTGATGTAATTTCGAACTGGATGTGATGTAGCTCCTTCAAACAAGGAGAAAGCACAGGGTGATGTGGACAATTACTTACATGAAGTAATAGACACCAAATAACTTGATCTAATATACAGTATTGTATTCCATTCTCTGTGTTGGGACCCCATGATGGAAATACTTGTTAGTTGCGGCCTGAGTTTCAAAATTCCAGCTTCCTTATTAGCACTGCTGTTGTAAAATACACGTTACATTATACTGGTCCTGGAAATTTGGTCGTGACACAACACTGCTGCTACTGCAATTTTCAAACTCTTTTCAAAAGTTTTAAATTTCCCCTCTGTGATTTCCAGCTCAGCCTCAGGTGATTGGATCCCTTGAGCCAATTGTTGCTGTTCTGGGCGATGATGTCATTCTGCCATGCCACCTGGAGCCCAAATTCAACGTGCAGCGTCTGACAGTAGAATGGTCGAAGCCTGACCTCAAGCCAGACCCCTTGGACCCGCTGAGCCGGGTCGAGTACGTGCACCTTTACAGGGACCGACAAGAAGTCCCGGACATGAAGATCGAGTCGTACATCAGGAGGACGGCTCTGTTCACTGACGAGCTGAGAGAGGGAAACATTTCGCTGAAGATCATGAACGTGACGCTTGCAGATGCGGGCAGATACAGATGTTTCATCCCCAAGTTAAAAAGCAGAGTGAAGGAGTCGGTTATTTACCTTACTGTTGGTGAGTAACTTTGTGTAGATGTTTGTAAGACTCTTGTTTCATCAAAATCAGTGGAGGGATTTAAGAATTGTTTTGTCAACAACTTATGCAAACTGTCATTGTTTTCTCTTGAATATTGTGCTGTAAATCATCACGTATCTTTTCTTTTTTCAGTACCAAAAACTGTTACAACAACAGAGACGCCGCTGCATCCCCAGACTCCAGATCCAAATGAGACAGATGTTAAAGGTGAGAAAATGGTCCCAAACATTTAAATTCTTAAAATGAAGAGTCGCCAGCTCTGTTAGTGCTTTGCGTTAAAGAAGACGCTGTATGCTGCTCATATTCATCTATCTGCTGTATTCCAGTCGCTGACTGCTTTTTTTTTTTTCACCTCAGGTGGTCGGAGCAATCATGGTTTGTGGATCTTTATGGGGGTTGCCTGCATCTTACTGATCCTGGGCAGTGGAGTCGCTGGATATTTATTGATACACAGGCGTGAAAAACAAAATGTAAGTTAGAATATATTGTTGCCTCTTGTTGTGTAAATCATACCAGACTTTTTTAGGTTTTATTATTAATATTAAACTTGTGTTTCTTGTTCCTCCAGCATACAAAGTATGACATGGCCTCAACCATAGCCCTTCCAACCTAGGTGCCTTGCTCAAAGACACGTTTGAGGTATTTGTTAATGGAGATCGGAGCTAGGATTTAAATCATCAGCATATCTGACGGGACCAGCAGCAGAGAGATCTCCTTGATGGATGCAGATTATCATCGGAACAGAATGCACAGTCTGATTTGAAGGTGACCCTCAATGGCCTTTGACGACTGTATGATTCGCTGGAGGAATCCGATCCCTGTGAAAACAGGCAAATTCAAAAGCAACACCTGATGAAATCTTCCTGAGCATGTTTGGTCAAAAGAAGTCCAGCCCGCAGAAGAACTGTGCCAAAACCTTGAACCCTATTTTGGACTCACCACGATCAGCAACAGGATTGCTGTGCATCTGCCAAAGACTTTTGTTTTCTGTTAAAAGAAAGAAGCCAAATTTAGGCCAGCAGTACTTTTTTTGGACTATCTTTTCGTGAAGATGATAGCTATGGTATTTCACCTGACCTCAAAGAGAGCCATGACGGATGGAAAGGATGACGACAAGTTTGTTTCGTCATCGTCTGCCCTTCCAAAAGAGGATAATTGTGAGTGAAATACTTCATTAGCAAACAGACTTTTTTAGGCCTGTTGTTGTAGTAGATGACACATCAGGCTCTGTTGGTAACCTCCACGACATTTTGCTACGAGCTGGTTGCACCAGTTGTTTGTAACTTAGCCTAGTCACTAAATAAAAACAGTTTGCACCTTACAAAGTACCTCTATCACAAAAATGATGCGTCACACACACACACCACCGCCCATCCAGACCACTCTTTCCTGGGCGATAGTGTGAGCAAGCGAGGTGTGTGTTTATGTATCTGCCGGGCTCCAGACTGCAACTATTTAGTGGCATTTTGCGACCATGGAGCACCCGTGCAACTTGCAAATACTATTAATGCATGAATTGGAGAGCTGTTAGTTTATTCACTGTGAGCAGGAAGTAAACTATCAATGTTAAAGCCACTACAGTAACAGCTTAACCTAATTTGTTTAACAATAGTTTGAGCAGTTGAGACGCATATTTTTGAATCTGCCGGGCTCCAGACTGCAAATATGTAGTGGCATTTTGCGACCATGGAGCACCAGTGCAAATTGCAAATACGAATGTATAAACTTGAGAGCTGATAGTTTACTTCCTGCTCACATTGAATACATCCTCACGGTTTAACTTAACTCCAACTGCTAACAACAACTGTTGACCAGAACCTTCACGTTCACATCAAAAACATCAACGCTTCCTACCAGAGACAAGGTGCCACTTTATTTACTTTACTTGAATTATTTTTATGACAGTACTTTAATGTTATTATGTAACACTAGCTACTTTATTTAAATCTATTGTAACAATATGTTATTTAGCACTTAAGCACTTCATTTTAGTTGTCTACGGTAGTAAAGATGAATTTCAAAATATCACGATATAGACTGTGTATCATGATTTAGCCTAAAAATATTGTGATATCAGTTATAGCCAATATTGCTCCGCCCTGCAACCACTAATCTCCAGGTGTAACGTTAGCTTGCTAATATCTCACCTGAGTTAAGAATAAGGTTAACACATGAGCAAATGTGGGCGAGTGATCGTCGTCTAACGAGGCGATATTCATGATGAGCGTGGGCAGTGCCTGATGTGACGCAGAACTACCTCTCTAAAGCATGATGTTATCTGTGCATATTCCATTTTCTTACATTTCATGCCTGTCTCCTAAATCGCTGTCAGCCAGGCAGCATCTCTCATGTGTGGCACTTTGTATTTTTTAGGGCCAAAATTGTAAAAATGTCTGCTTAGCAAAGAGTCCGACTCATTGTCATGGACAGAATTTCCTAAGTTTTCCACGACTTTCCAAGGACCCTTTATGGCATTCCCATGACCATTCAGAATGTATCACATGACCAGAACTGTAAGGTACACTTAACCGTTTTGTTACTTAACAGATGATTGCCAACATAAGCTAAACCAAAGTAATAAATACACAGAATAAAAAAAGATTAATCTGTTGTGCCTGTGAAACTGTTATTTTCCGAGGTTGGGCTAACTTGTCTGGCATTTCCAAGCAATTGATCAACACATTGCCAAAGTCTTTCCTGAGCTAAGACGTTTAATGGTGCAACTTGATTTAGCAAATCACTGAATATCTGGTGCAACCCAATCCAGAGTTTCAGCTTATTTACACTGGATGAAGAAGAAAAATGGGTATATTTTTTGTTTTTTTATGATTAATTTATTTAACATGTAATTAATTCTCCCACCTGTTTAGACTGATTATAAATCACAGTTAATAGTGTTACAACAGTGGCTATGTTTACATGCACACTAATATTCAGCTGTTATTTCAAATTTAAACAGCAATATTCCATGTCGATATAAAGAATTAGGCTTTTTTATTTCTGGCCAAATTCTGGCACAAGTGACAGCCGTTCCAATTTTCCATATTTTGGTGTGATAAATGACTTGTTGTGACACGTTAATCAGAGTGCGCACGGCTGCATGTAAATGTAAATTTTAGTTTGATATTCATTTTCATTAGTCGGTATGTTGTCTTTTTTGGAAAAAGGGCAAAAACTGAAATATATTGTGCATGTAAACATAATCAGTGTGATTTAAAAGAGGGTGGTGTGTCTGACACTTACTTATGTTTGAGTAATAACTGATTTGAGGTCACCACACCTTGTTTCATGTGTCAGTGTGACTGAAAGTGAGCCCACAGTGAGGGTGTGTGACCGGGTGTGTCCTAAATTGAAACATGATAAAATGATAGACTTCAAACGGCAATTTTCTGGCACATGTGATTCTTTAAGATTAAGAAATAGCTCAGCTGAAGTTGAAGCCATCTCCATGCTGTTGACATCTACCGTGAGCGTGCCTTTGAGCAGGACACCGAGCCCTCGCTGTAGTTCTGTATATTCATTGTTGCATTGTTATGTTCAATATTTTAAAAAAAAAAAAGTCCAAAAAAGTTTGGATGTGTTTTTCTGTACCTCTTGCACTTTGAATCAGTTTATAAGACTGACCTCTGCTATGTTAATCTGTTTAAGCACTGACTTAAAATCTGAAGAAAAAAAGCGGATTAAATGTTACTTTCTGTTTCAGGGATATTACAATGCAGCACAGTATTTAGAGTTTTTACATCAAAGTATTGTATGCTTTTACGTACAAGTATTGTATGCCTTTACATTAAAGTATTGTATGCTTCAATGTTTAATTGAACACAGGGTACAAGAGACCGAATAAACTATATTTCTAAAATAACTACAGTGTGTTGTCTTTAATCTTTCTGCTCTCGCTTTGCATGAAGGTGGAGTTCAATGTCACACCCTCCTATCTGTCTGTCTGCATTTGTCTGTCAGTTAAGAGATACCACACTCTGACCATGCCTTGTTGAGGTCAGCTCAACGGCTGACTTTAAAAATGTTGGCCGTAATGATAAGTTCAAGATGACATGTTCACCCTTGTGAAGTGTCTTTGAGTGACAGCCATCAGGGCAGCTTATCTCTCAGCTGACCTTTGTCTGACGTTCACAGTGTTTGAGCCAAAACAGATCTGTGAATTGTTGCACCTTGACTTCATATGAAAGAAGACTGGGGGCCGGCTTTACAAACAGAGACTAGAACATTACATGGCTTTAAATAAAATGATCACAACACTAAGACATGCAGAAAAATGAAGCAGTGATGACTTTAACAGCCTTTATCAGCAGAGGGATCATACTAACAGTGACACAGTCAGCAGGTCATTTCATTTCCACTGTGTCCACATCTTACACGCTCACGAAAGGGCGTGTCTGTGACAACCAATCCCACCTGTTAAAAGACTGCATCACACCTAGCGTCAGGGTCGACCACACCTCCTCACTAAGATGAAAATGTCTGTCCTGTCTTTGCTCAGAGTTGCTCTGAGAAATGTCCTAAATCACTCCTAAGCTAGGACTCCTTACCAAAAGTTTGAAAGCTACGCTAGGAGCTCTCTGAGAGGAAAAAAAATGGTGGTATACCAGACAATGATCACACACACACACACACACACACACATAAAGCAAAGACTGTAATGGTAAGGACTAAAATTATAACAGCACTCATGAAAAATGGAAACTGAGGAAACACTATCATAAGCGGGGAAACACCAGAGGCAGGTGAAAACTCAGAATAGAAAACAAATTTCGATCCATTAATAAATAAGTAGATAAATAAGTTGAAATAAATAACAAAATAGAAGATTATGACAGCTAACAAACAAATGCAATAATAATAAAAATAAAATAAAATTGACTAAAAATTAAATAAAATAAGATAAAATTAAATAAACTAATATGATTTAAAAATGAAATGAAATGAAATAAAATGAACCAAAAATAAAATGAAATAAAATCATTTAAAATTGAAATAAAATGAACTAAAATAAAATGAACTAAAAATGAATTAAATATAAATAAATTAAAATACAATGAACTTAAATAAAATGAACTAAAAATGACATAAAATAAAATGAACTAAAAATGAACTAAAAATAAAATAAAATGAAGTAAAATTAACTAAAAATGAAATAAAATAAAATATAATAGACTAAAAACTAAATAAAATAAAATTGACTAAAATTGAAATAAAATAAAATCAACTAAAAATAAAACAAAATGCAGTTCAATTAAAAGCCAGGCTAAAAAGGTAGGTCTTGAGTTTGCCTTTAAAATACAGCATATTCCACTGTCTGTCAGTCTTTATACTGTTTTTATTCTGAGGATCACAGGAGTTCATTTGTGCTTCTAACAGTGTTCATTTTTCAGAGGAAAGAAATCTGAACAGGTTGGAAGAGTCAGTGCACAGTGAGTGTGTACTCCCCTCCAAATCTGCTGTACCATCCGTAAGTGAAGCTGCTGCCACCACATCTCAGCAGGAAACAATAAAGAAGACCACGCATGAAAAGTTAGTCAGAGAATTAGATGAGCATACAACGGAATATCAGAGGGAAGAATGTGAAATGAAAATGAGAATGTTTGGTATTTATTCGGAATGAGAATCACAAACAGGTTTCTCATTTGGAATGGCGTGATTTTACTTCTAACTTTTGTTTTGCTCCAAAAATGAATCTGTATGAAATATAATTTTATGAGCATGTTGCTTAGATGTTTATTTCTGAACTGACAAAGTCTGACAAACAAAAAAAGGTTCACTCACTCACTTCTCTCAAGTCACAACTTCTGCATTTGTCCTGTTGTGTGGCTCCCTCTAGTGTTACAAAAGTGACACTAACCTAGCTTTTAGTTTTTATAACCCTGAAATGTCATTCAGAGTCAGCGGGACAAGCAGGTGGTGGATTAGACACGAACAAACCCACAATAATCTGATTTCAGATTTCATAAATGAAAGTATTTTTAAAGAAAAAAAGGAGATACAGGAACATGTGTCACCACATGATTTGCAAAACAGTGGAGGCCAATTTCCTCCAGTACGATAAAGAAGGATCCTGAAAGTCATTATAAGACATTTTCTCAAAATAATGGCTTTGTATCATCTTTCATTATTTTTAGATGTAAGGTCATTACTTTGAGATACTAAGTCACTATTTAATATATATATTTCGAGATTGATTCATTATTTAAGATGTTAAAACATTATTTTGAAAAATATACTCATTATTTTTGAGTAACTTATTCATTATTTTGAGAATGAGTAATTATTTTGAGATGTTAAAACATTATTTTTGAGAAATTTTCGCATTATTTTTGAGTTACTACTTTGAGTTAATTTTTCTCATTTTCTTAAAGATACCAACTCATAACTTTGAGAAAACTTATTATTTTTGAAATAATAATTTATTATTTTGAGAATCTTTGTCAGTATTTTGAGATTGATTCATTATTTAAGATGTTAAAACACTATTTTAAAAAATGTTCTCATTATGTTTGAGTTAGTTATTCAGTATTTTGAGAATGTTTCTCTTTTTTTTTTAAAGATACTAACTTATCAATTTGAGATAAAATAATTTTTTTTAAGAAATGTATTATTTTGAGATGCATTATCTGTGAGAAACTTTCTCCTTATTTTTTTAACATTCATTATTTTACTCATTTTTTTTAAGACACTAACTTATTATTTTGCGATAACTTATTATTTTTGAAATAATAATTCATGATTTTGAGGGGTTTCTCTTTTTTGAGAAAGTCATTATTTTGAGATACTGAGTCATTTGTTCACTCCTGATTAGACCGCTTCCTCCAAGATTATATAACTCCACCCTTCAGGCCTGTGACTCTCTTTTTCCCTCCAAACACGCCGGGCAGAACAAAGAGAGCACATGTGCTTCACCTTTATTTATTTTATTAATCCTGTCTGTATTATTTAAAGTTAACAGATTGTTTTGTGTTTATTGTTCTAAGATTCTTGACTTTAAACTGTTGTTAAGAAGGAAAAAGAGTGATGGCATAGTGGATGCATTAATGACGTGACTTATATGATAACCTAATTTCCTAATATTATTCTTATCATAATTATTGTTTAACAATATGCAGAGCTGTAACGTTTTGTTTTAATATTCCTTTTTATAGACAGAATCATCTAACAACAACCACCATGTGATACTGAGTCATTCTGAGAAAGTTTGTCATTATTTTGAGAAGCTAACTCAGTATTTGGAGAAAGCCTTTAATTAGCTAAACATACTAAGTCATTCTTTTGAAATACTACATCATTTTTTGAAATGCTAAGCCTGATCCTGTCAAGGAAGTTTCTCCTTACAATGACTTAGAGGATCTGTTTTTTTTATCACACTGGTGGAAATGGCTTTATATTTTGAAAGCAGTCTTTAATGTGGCATGCTATCATTTGGGAATGGAGATGGGGATGTCATTAGCTTTGTAGGGATTTGGTCATAAACCAAAGTACTGGACAAAGAGCTTCCCCTTGGGGAGTCATCTGATTTCCGTCATTGCTAGTGTCGGCCAACTGAAGCCTCACGAACCCTTGTCTTTACTTTCAGAGCACACTAGATGGCGCTCTTGATTTGCAGAAAAAGGCTCAAGGAATGGCAGTCCAGTGTGCGGTCTACCTTTACAAAACCATCAATGCTAACCATATGGTGGTGCCAGAGGACAGTCGGAGGCTCACCACAGTTGATACTATATTCATCGTTAGGGGGATGTAAATGTCTGAACCACATTTAGTCACAATCCATCAAATAACTGCTTAAATATTTAATACTTAAGTCTGGAGACATGATGGACAGACTACATTGGCATTGGCTGTTGACATGATGAAGACCAATCAAGAATTAATCTAAATTCCTGGTTGGACATCCTCACAGACCAAAGTAAACATTTGACTTAGGCCTCTGACATTCAGCGTCACTTCAGCTTGCTTCTCAGGTCCTAATTTTCTTGCTGGCGACTTCTAAGTTCTGCTGTGAGGCGACTAACTTCCTTTTCCAGATGCTCATTTTCTCGCTGGCACCTTCCAAGTTCTGCTGTGAGGCGACTAACTTCCTTTTCCAGACGCTCATTTTCACACTGCAGACATTTTTCTTGCTCCCTGGTGGACCCATCAACCTCATCTGAGAAAGAAGAGTGGTTGGTGTCAGATTGTATGCTGTATTCATGGGGTATTAATCTTAAGTGTGATATTTTGTAGCAACCACTGTCACACACACAGGTGACGAAATTCAGTTAAAGATAAAAATGAATCTAAATAAATTACCAATGCCGATAGTCCTTCTCACACACTGACGTGTCGATCCTGCAGTACGGATAGATGCATTAACAACAAAATAATTATGTTTGTGGCGACATTTGTCTAGTAAAAAAGCTGAATGACTTACCGTTCATGTACAACACAATCGCCAAAATCAGTGCGAGAATAAACATCAAACTAAATATGAAAAACCCGATCAGTGCATCCTTTGAATTTTTCAGTGCAAATAATTCTGTGTAGACATCTGGAAAAGAAAGAAAAGAAACAGATCAGAGGATGGATTAAAGTGGTTTGCTTTATAATCGATCTTGTTAATCAGTGGTGTGCACAGGGGGGGCCCAACTGTTGAAAAACGCATGCTAAAGTGCCCTCGTGGGAGCCAAAATGCGCGCTAAAGTGCCCTCTTGGGAGCCAAAACGTGCGCTAAAGTGCCCCCCTGGGAGCCAAAACGTGCGCTAAAGTGCCCTCTTGGGAGCCAAAACGCACGCTAAAGTGCCCCCCTGGGAGCCGAAACGCGTGTTAAAGTGCCCTCGTGGGAGCCAAAATGCGCGCTAAAGTGCCCTCTTGGGAGCC